GGAGGCAGGGGGCGGGGCGTCATCATGTGCCCCGCCCCCCGCACCTCACCTGGGGGAACTGCGATCCCCCGCGATCCCCCCCAAATCTACCTCTGGTTCCAACCCTTTTATCATTCAAGTTGCCCTTTTCTGCACTTTCCCCAAAGCTATAATATCCTTTTTAAGGTGTGGTGACCAGAACTGCACACAGTATTCCAAATGAGGTTGCACCATTGATTTATATAGGGGCGTTATGATATTGGCTGATCTGTTTTCAATACCCTTCCTAATAATCCCCAGCATAGCATTGGCCTTTTTTATTGCAATCACGCACTATCTCGACATTTTCAGTGAGTTATCTACTACAAGGACAGGGTGCCTGACGTTTGCAGCAGTAACTGGAGGCGATGGCATCCTATTAGGGTTATGGAGTGGGTGGAAGAGATAGCCAGAGTGGTGGATGTCTAATCAGGGTGGGAGAGACCAACTAGTGGGCAGGGCCCTTAAGACAGTGGTCAGGCAGAGCTGGGGGTAGCCAGAGATAGAAGTGGAGAGGGAGCTCAGTGAGTCTGAAAATGCCATAAAGTGCTGTTTACCCTGGGGGCTACTAGGTGTTCTGTGCAAGATGATAGGACATGGCGAGGCTGTGCTCTGCTCATTGGCACTGTAACAATTTCATGTTTATTTGTGTGTGTGTCTTTAAAAGTTTGGTTTATATTGCTGTGTGATGATGATCTAGAATGCTGGACTCAGGCAAGTGATATGATTGGTGAGTGACAGAGAGGGGGAGGGGTTTTGGAATGGATGCTGTGTGGATGATTTGAAAGTCTATCAGGAGTGACTGTTAGAGTGAGACAGTTAAACAGACAGTTGATGAGTCAGTCAGCAGAGAGTGCTGTGTAAAAGCAGTTGATAGGAGTTGGTCCTGAGATTTCTGTGAGAGAAGCAGAAGTCAGTTAAGTTCTGTCTCTGAGTTGAAGGAGACTCAGCCCTGTGTGTGAAAAGAGTGACATTTAAGTCTGTGTTATAGGAGAAAATTACAAGCTGAGAGTCTAGGAAAAAGTACAGTGAAAAGTGTTACAAAGTTGCCTATGAAATATCCCTGTCAGTGGAGAGAGGCTTGTGAGAGACACCAAGCCATGGTTCAAATCATTCCCAGTTCTGTTTACATTGTTTGCCCTCGTGTTGATGCTTTCTTTAAATAAATCCTATTTCCTTCAAGTATACCAGCTCAGCAAATAATCCTTCCTCAGACCACATAGACCTTCAAGAATGCCTAGACCCATGGTACACCTACCCAGTGATAGAAATATATATTATAGTAAGAGGTTGGAAAGCCTTAAAATTCCTGGTGGCAGCTGGATACCCAAAGAAAAATAAACTAAAAGGGACACTTTAAAGTAAAACCAGACCTCCCTAGTAAAGGGGTCGTCACAGGCACATATTACCCCTTGGTTTTATCTTTATGTTTTATGTTATTTTCTCTCTGTTATTTTGATTGTTTTGCTTATTTCATTCCAATTAGTCTGTCCTTAGTTGATTTTTATGTCTTATTGGTTGTGCTCTGTTGTTTGTTCGAATTAGCCTTGAGCTAATTAGCTGTTAAATTTTCTACGGTTTGCCCTTCTCTTTCCTCCCGTTTTGTTTGGTTTTACAGATCCCTTTTTATCTTTCTGCCTTCTGTTCTTGTTTTACAGGCGCAGTGTTCAGATTTCTCCTTCCTTCCCCCCTCCCCTCTCCCTCCTTTAGTTGGGTGGGGGAAGGAGAGGCTTTAAGGGGATTAGTGTAGGGCTTTCTTTTTGTTCCTGATTTGAAATAGTTGAGATTTTGTTTTGGCTTACTTTGCCTTGTTTTCTTTTGCTTTAACTGGTTTTAACTGTTGTTTTAATTGATCTTAACTGACAGCCTGTTTGAGGGATTCTAAGGCTTTTGGTTGATTGGCTGAGGGTAACGGTCTGCTTAGGTTGCTTAGACTGCTTAGGCTGTCTATACACCTTCTGAGCTGTTTTGGCTAGCTGGAGCCAGGGGTTTTGCCTGGCAGTCCTATGTTGGAGATAAATATAGGATAGCCAGGTCGTCTTCAGCCAGTGTGGGGGGATTTGGCGGGCATTCCGGGGATGGGCAGGGATGTCACGCGATGCAATGGTGTCACCTGGAAGTTACATCATCGCATTGGCGACACTCTGGTTTTTGGGCAAAACTCTATGGTAAATTTGCCCTCAAACCATAGAGTTTTGCCCAAAAACCATAGTGTCCTGTGTGACAACATCACTTCTAGGTGATGTCATTGTACTGGGGACGACACACAGTGATGTCCCAGTTTAGGGGCAGGGTTTCCTCCACCGGCAAGCTGGTCCACAGCCGGGGAGAAGGGGACTGGCAACCCTAGATAAGTATAAACTCTCCCACCGAAGGCAGTGGGAGCAAAACACAAAGACCTGCACACCTGCCGCACAGCTTAGGATACCAACTGGTATTATAAACTTTATTGCATTGGCTCAAAGCCTTAACAAATAACTAAGTCTATGTATTTCTTGGGTACTCTCTGAACCCCCAGCTTAGAAATCCATATCTCGGATAACAGGATGTGTGGCAGGGGGTTATGTCTTGAGGTTTGTGTACACGTCAGACACATGGTGGGGGAAGGGGGCTTAGTGAGGGGAACTCTACAGAAAGAATACTTCTTGTGCAAAAAGGAAGCACTTTGTTGGTCTTCCTCCTCCTTGGGTGTTTGTGCATTGTTAGAGCATATTGCTAACATTGCTCTGCTCCGAACTCTTACAGGCAGGGGTCATTTCCTGCAGGAGCGCACAGGAGAAGAGCTCCGGCAGTGAAGAGCCCAGGGGGCGGGCACATGCAACAAGCCCCACCCCCTGCTCCCAGCAGTCCTCAGTCAGAGCAAGAAGCAGCCAGGTAAGTTGCAGAGCTCCCCCTGGCCCCCCAGTCCAAAACAGTCCAGTGGCACCTTTAAGTCCAAGTTTTATTCAGGTACAAGCTCTCCCTCCTCTGCGAGGACAGATTTGCACGTTCCTCCCCCCCCCCCAATAGCTAGCAATCCAAAACAGTCCAGTGGAGCCTGAGCGGGGGGTGTTGCCTTCTGACACACTTCTGGTGATGTCAGGGTGTGTGGCACATGCAAATAAGTTATGCTAATGAGTTATGCTAATGAGCTCCTGCACCTCTTTTTCTACGAAAGGACCCCTGCTTACAGGTACTCTACCCTCGGGACACGGGCTCTGTCCTGGATCTTCCACTCCTCCAACTGGGATGCATGGACAATTCCTCCACAACAGCTGAACTCCAGCATCAAGTGGAGGGAGGAAATGCACAAGTACTGGAAGAGCAGCTGTATGGCGCTCCTTTCTCAAGTCTGTGGCTCACAAAACCTGCAGAGTGCTCGAGGGCACATGCTCTCCGCTGCAACTCCTGAACATTATTAATGCCTGTCCTTCTGTCTCACTGGACTCTTTCCAGGCAGCCGTCCAGCAGAACTAGAGGCAGAAAGAAGCCCCATTTACAGAGCTGTTCCAAGCACCCGCTAACCCTACAAAAGCCGGTAGTGTTCAGCATGTCAGAGAAACAACAAATAAGAGTTGGGCTGCCATGTCAGTATCTGTTACCATTCTGGCAATTAATAGTAGCTTTGTCTTGCCAATATAATCAAAGGAGACAGATTTGGTTAGCCGCTCATGGAAACTTTATGTGCAAACTTTCCACAGCATTTTGTATTTGCTGCAGAATTCTTGTAACAAGAAGTTTCCAGGGAGGGCAAAGGTGATTAGCAACTCTCTCTCTTCCCCTCTGTCCGTCTTCCTTCCTGTCCCCTCCTCACTGCAGACCTCATCCAATTAAACCGCTACAGCCTCCAAACAGATGCTAAAGCCACACTGCTGGGAATGGCCCAAACTGAGTCCAGTGTTTAATTGTTACATACAAGCTCTTTTGGATCAGACCAGTGGAAGCTCTAGGCCAGCATCCTGTTTCATTCAAGGGCCAACCAGTTGCCCTGAAGGGCCAACGAACAGGCTGCAGCCGCCAAGGCCTTCCCCAGATGGTGCTTCCTAACTCTGGAATTCAGGCCTTTGAGGCTGAAAGAGAGAGGGTTGTAGTCGAAAGCGTGATGAAAATGTTGACTCTGCGACAGTGGTGAAAAAGGCAAACTCCATGCTGGGTATTATGGATTGAAAATGCAATGCCAATATTGTAATGTCTTTGTATATAAGGCTATGGTGTGGCCGCATTTGGAATACCTGGGGCAAACCCCTGGTATCCGTATCTCAAAAAGGATATTGCCGAGCAGGCCAAAGGTACAGAAGAGGACAACCAACACAATTAAGGGCTTAGAGCACCTTTTCAGTTTAGAAAAAGGTGACATGGGAGGAACATGGCAGAGGTTTATAAACTTATGCGTGGGGTAGAAAAAGTGGATAGAGGGAGCTTTTTCTTCCTCTCCCACTGAGCCACCGAACGAGACTGACTGACAGACCAACACAATTAAGGGCTTAGAGCACCTTTTCAGTTTAGAAAAAGGTGACATGGGAGGAACATGGCAGAGGTTTATAAACTTATGCGTGGGGTAGAAAAAGTGGATAGAGGGAGCTTTTTCTTCCTCTCCCACTGAGCCACCGAAGGAGACTGACTGACAGACAAAAATACTTCTTTACTCAACAAGTAATTAAATTGCAGAATTCACTGCCAGTGGATGGCCAGTGATGGCCACAAACACAGATGGCTTTAAAAGGGAGCTAGGCAGATTCGTGAAGGGGAGGTCCATCAATGGCTAGTAGCCATGGTGACTAAAGGATACCTTCATATGTAGAGACAGCAGACTTTAAATCAGAAGGTACATCACGGGCAGGCCTTGGCAGCTGTGCTCCGTTTGCTGGCCCTTCACGGCAACTGGTTTGGATGCTGCCTGAAAAGTGATGCTGGACTAAGCTCTGGCTCAGCAGGGTTCTTCTTATGGTCCAATACTGCTGCCTTCACTTTTGGGAAAAGTTACGGCTCCCTACAAATGATTGTGGCACATATAGAAAAGACCTTGGAGTAAGAACCCTGTTTACCTCAAGTATCGCTGCTGCTCTACATGATTTTGAAGGCTTGTCAACATTCATTTATGTTTACCTGCTGGAGTTGATGTTTCCCGAATTCTGGGATTCTCTTGGGCAACCCGGTTGTTCTGGATGAGGCCACCGATGGCTCCGACTTTGCTTCCGCCTGCTGCCATTTTGCCTTTGTCGTCTTCAGCCAGTGTGCCGTCTGACTGCACCAAACCTTTCTTCTTCATTTTGAGCTTTACTTTCTTCTTTTTCTTCCTGGGGGCCGTTGTTCTTTCCTCTTTCTACACAAAAACCAAGGAAGGGCAAGCATATCTCCCTGAAAGCGGTTTCAGAAGCTTCCCGTCCAAAAGGTCTTCCTCATATCTGGTTCCTACAGTAATATCCCACAATACATCAGGTGGCCCTCTTGAGCTTCCTGTACTTTCAGCTGGTCATTGTCTCCTCCCCAGAAAAGATGACACATTTATTTACTTCACTTATACTTTGCCCCTTCTCCCCAATGGGGACCCAAAGTGGCTTACATCACTGTCCTCTCCTCCATTTTATCCTTAAATCAACCTCAGTGGAACAGGCTTCCTCGGCAGGTGGTGGGCTCTCCTTCTTTGGAGGTTTTCAAACAGAGGCTAGATGGCCATCTGACAGCCATGCTGATTCTGTGAACTCAGGCAGATCATGAGAGGGAGGGCAGGAAGGGTTGCATCAGTGCTTAGTTCTTGTGGCCCTTTCTTAGGCCCCGGGCACACGGGGGAAATTGACGCGGCCAAAGTGCGGCTTTTTAGAGCCGCACCAAAAGAGACACGAGGCGGCGGGATCAAACAGATCCCCTGAGCCGCCACGCAGTTGCTCCCTGGCACAATCAGATGCCACGGGGGAAGCCACGGAAGGGAGAGGGAGGCAGCCGGCTGCGCATGTGTGCGCATGCGCAGTTTGGCGGGAGCCTTGAATGCTCCTGAAGACAGGTGTGCCGGCGATCTCATGGCCGCGCTTGCTGTGGCGTTTCAGGTTGGTGCTACTATTTCCTAGAGGTTTTTTTAATGCACGTTTTCGGCCTGAAGGGACGGATCGGGGACGGGTGCGCACCGCTTCCCAGATGTTGTGGTGTGATCGCGCCCGTTTGCTGCGCCCCCGATCTGTCCCTCTTGCAGGCCAAAACCTCCCGTGTGACCGGGGCCTTACACACCCAGGGAAATGCTGATTGCTATTTTGGGGACAGGAAGCAAATTTTCTGAAGGCCAGTTTGGCCAGGGATCCTGGAATTTTTTTTTTGCCATCTTCTGGGCATGGAGTGGGGGTGACTGGGTGTGTGTTGGGGGGGAGTTATTTGTGAATTTCCTGCATTGTGCAGGGGGTTGGACTAGACGACCCTGGAGGTCCCTTCCAGCTCCACGATTCTTTGATTCTATGAACCCTGTGAGGTAAGTTAGGCCGAAAGTCTGTAACGGGTCCCAGGTCTCCCAGCAAGCTCCTCCCCATGGCAGGGTGGGAATTCAAACCTGGGTCTCCCAAACCCTAGTGCAGCCCTCTTAACCACAACATCACACATTGTCCTCATTACAGACAGTAGCGTATTCATTTATGTATTTAAATTTGTAGCCCACCCTTCCTTGCACTGCAGGGCTCAGGGTGGGTTACGACAATAGATATATACAATGAATTTAAAACAACTAAAACATGATCGATACAATATTAAAAACCGATAATATCAGATAATACAAGACGGCAGTCAGACACAAGTTAACAAGTGTTCCCGAAGAACCTTCGGCTTGCGCGCCCACAGATGAAACCAAATACTGGGCTTGGCAATGGGGAATGCAGCTCATCAGTAGTGGATGGACTCTGCGTGCATGAGGGGCCACATTGAAGTGCTGACATCTCTAATTAACTACTTTTCAGCAGTACAAGGCTGAGATTGTGTTTTTATTGTTTTGCATATCAGCCCCCTCCACAAAAGAGAAATTAGACTTGAATAGGAAGACAACATCAGTAGTATGAGGCAGGCAGCATATAGTTACGTAGGGTTGCCAGCTCTGGGTTGGGAAATATCTGGAGATTTGGGGGGTGGAGCCTAAGGAGGGCGGGGTTTGGAGAGGGGAAGGACTTCAACAGGGTATACTGCCATAGAGTCTACCTTCCAAACGGGTCATTTTCTCCAGGCGAACTGATCTCTGTCACCTGGAGATCAGTTGCAATAGAGGGAGATCTCCAGCCCCCACCTGGAGGTTGGCAACTGTAAGTTACAGTGGATTTTCCATTTTAAAACACTAAACTATACATGATTAGAACACTAAATCAGAAAATTTAACTATGCAATGATTAGAAGGCCACTCGTCTTCAGAGGTGAGTGGGTGGAAACAAGGCTTTTTCCGTGGGGACCTGCCTGGTGCCTACATCAATTAGGTACCATTTCTGTTTACCCAGGTTTTTAATCAAGGGATTTATTTATTCTAAGACATCTATTTATAATCTGTTTTTAGCCTCAGGAATATTTAAGACCCCTTTTAATCAGCTCCATGTTTTGTGTCGTTTTATGCTCTGCCTTTGTTTTTGAGCACAGGTGTTAATACCTTTCGTGGTGTTTTATGTTTTGTATTGTAAGCTGCCTCGGGGCATGTTCCTTCTGAATCAAGCAATCAATTAAGAAGATGTGTGTTGCAGAGGAAGTTGCTGGGTAGGAAAAATACCATTTGCACAGGAAAGGGTTCCATGTTCCACAGAACACGTCAGGCTTGGCCCAATGTTACCATCTTCTGGAACTCACTGGGTGCGTTCAGACAGGGCGTTTCAGCCGGCATAAACTGTACCGGTTGGAACCGTTGCAGTTTATGCCGGCTGAAATGCGATCACACTTACCTCCTGTCTGTGGAGCCCATCGCTGTATGCCCGTTCACACACAGCGGGCGTCGTTTTTTTTTTAAAAAAACCCTCAGTTTGTGCACAGAATGGTGATCTTCGTGCATGCGCAAAACACCCCGTCCAGAAAAGCATGCCCTGAAGAGAGGACTTACCTTTAAAGTTTAAAGAGCAAACTGGCCTCCCTGAGGTCCTGGACTCCTCTAAAATGTTAAACTAAGGACCTTTTCTTTTTTTAAAAAACAAACACCGGGGCGAAGCTTTGCCCAAGCGCATATCGCCGACCTAAAAAAAAAAAGGCGGGCGAAAATCGGAAGCCTCAGGCTTCCAAACGGAAGTGGCTCTACAACGGTGGAGAGCGATCAGACCGGGGGGTGGGGGGTAAAGCGATTACAACCGTTGCACTCAGGATACCACTACTTGGGGACCTAGTGGCAGAATACAACGGTTTAAAGCTCTTTGCAACAGTTAGGGACGGAAGGCAGATGTTTGCCGTGTGAACGCTGGTAAGTACACCGATACCAACCGGCACCTATAAATGCCCCGTCTGAACGCACCCACTGTCCCAAGATGTGGGGAGGGCCGGTAGCTAGGGTTGCTTCCACATGGTCATGATCCTCTGTGGAGCTCTCATGGCCACTGTGAATGCAGAGGCACACACAGCAGCAAGCGAGTCTTCACATGGCATTAAGTTACAGTGATACATCTGTGATGAGATGACATTTCCACCCTATATTTGCCATGTAGGAATCTTCTACTTTGCTTTGTGAGTGTTGAGTTTACACTTTGCAGATGCTCAGGAGGAGATAATCTCAAATCACCCATTTACATACTCTGTTCACAAGAGAGTTCATTTCCCTCCCCATTTTTCCTATTCCAAGCAGCAGACGGGGAGCAGTAAAGCAATCTGGAGGCTAATGAGGCATACAAAGAAAAGACCACCCTCTGGCCTGGTCATGTAATCAATGGACAAATGTCTGGCATTTCCCCATCCTAGCTCATTACCACAAGGCAGTTGATGGAAAGGAGACACACTGGCTTTCAGAAGGGCAACCATGCTTTAGAACTGGAAGGGAAACCATGCTTTGCCTCAGTCTTTGGAATCAAGTTCAGGGTAAGCAATGCTTCCGGGCACAGCTATTCTTATTCCCTTTCTCACTTCAAGTGACACTCCTGCTACTGGGCGCATGACATGAACAGAACAACCCATGAGACTCCCAGTGATCCCTGTTACTGGGATTTTGGCCCTGCAACTCACAACAGCTGCAACACCAGCAGGCAAGTGTTCTGCAAAAAGGAGCAGGTTACCTGTGGAAGGATGTTCTGGAAGTGCTTTGGTGGTTTGCTTGTCTCTGTCTTGGCATTTCCGTCTTGGGAGCTCTCCCTCTTGGCCGGTGGCTCCCTAAAGGATAGGAGGAAGATGTAAGAAATTACTTAAAACTGCAAGACATCGTATAAACTGGTTCTCCTCCTCCCACAGCCTTGGACTTGAGTTAGGCTAGCAACAGTGCTAACCTCAAGCTCTGCTGTACTGAGAGACAGTTTGGTGTACTGGTTAACAGCGGTGGACTCTAATCTGGAGAACCAGGTTTGATTCCCCACTTGAAGCTTGCTGGGTGAGCTTAGGCAAGTCACAGCACTCTCAGCCTAAAAAATAAGCATAGCTCGCCACCTAGTGGTGCCAAAGAGAGCTACAGCTTCGACAGCCAAACCATCTGTTCAGGGATCTCCTGGCTATTCCACACACAATGCCATATGATAATTAATTGATTTCTGGTGTCCTCTATGGTGCCTTGGGAATTATGGAGGCAAAATACCAATGTGGTGCAAGAATAGGTTCTGAAATGACTTCACTGAAAGGCACACAATATATCAATCGTGCTGGAGCTAAGCAGGCAGGGGTCTGGTGGTCCATACAGTTCTATGGGTTCCATGATGGAAGAAAGGCAGGAAACAAGTGTAATAATAAAACCTGTCCTCAAATCCCTACTCACTCGGGTAGCCTCTAGTCTAGGGCAACTCTTTCTCAGCCACAGTTGACCATATAAACTTTGCAGGAGTGTGAAGAATACAAGAACCATGACACACACACCCCATGCTGCAATGCAGTCATAAATCATTGTCAGGATGTTAGCTTCTTTCTAAGATTACCAGGCGGTGGCAACCAGTGGGAGCTTCGGGGGCGGAAACACGGGGGGACTCAGCAGCACGTGTGCTGTGATGTCACTTCCAGGGGGGAAAAACCCGGAAGTTACATAAGCCAGTTTGGTGTAGTGGTTAAGTGCGCGGACTCTAATCTAGGAGAACTGGGTTTGATTCCCCACTCCTCCACTTGCACCTGCTGGATGACCTTGGGCAAGCCATAATTCTGCCACAGCTGTTCTTGAAAAAAGAGCAGTTTCTGTCAGAGTTCTCTCAGCCCCACCTACCTCACAGGGTGTCTGTTGTGGGGGGGGGAAGGGAAAGGAGTTTGTAAGCCGCTCTGAGACACCTTTGGGTAGTGAAGGTAAAGGTAAAGGTTCCCTTGCTCGAAAGCCAGTCAAATCCGACTCTAGGGTTGCGGCGCTCATCTCCGTTTCAAAGCCGAAGAGCCAGTGCTGTCCAAAGACGTTTCTGTGGTCATGTGGCCGGCATGACTAAACACCAAGTCGCACGGAACGCTGTTACCTTCCCAGTGAAGTGGTACCTATTTATCTACTTGCAATTTCTTGCTTTCGAACTGCTAGGTTGGCAGGAGCTGGAACTATAGACGGGAGCTCACTCCGTCATGCGGCGCACTCAGGTCTCGAACTGCTGAACTACCAACCTTCCACAGCCTGCAGTTCAGCGTCTTAACCACTTGAGCCACCGCAGCAGGGTATAAATCCAATCTCTGCTCTTCTCCTCGTCTAAGAATAGCCACTGATTTCCTAGAGCTAACTTACATCACTTCTGTGCTCCCCCCGGAAATGACATCACACATACAATACCAATGTTTGTTTATTTTCTCCTGCCATTTGGAGCAGTGGTGGGCAACACAGGCTTCCAGCAGGAGGTCTCCCACCACGGTGGGAGGCCTGGCAGCCGTCCTATTTCCATCTCTGCCTAATTCCTCCTACTCAGCCAAGGTGCAGCCTTGGTTGTGGCCAATGCTCCCTCTAAGCTGTGGAGTCTTATGAGCAAAAATTCTACTTTTTGAGCTACTGGCATTGAAGTTATGAGCAAGCGATTTGGCTGCTGCATAAATTAGTTTGCTCTGGAGCCCTCCTTCCTGAGCTAAGACAAAAATGTGTGAGCTGGAGGCTAAAAAACTGTGAGCTAGCTCACACTAACTCAGCTTAGAGGGAACACTGGTTGTGGCCAACGATGCCATTCCAAAGTCAAGGAGAACCTGTCTTCTCGGGTCTTGCTCCGGGGTCTCCGTGCCTTCCGAGATACATCCCGCTCTGGTAACACTTGCAGTTCAAGGCCATCTTCCTGGATGCGGTCACACAGGGCCCCATAGTCCAGGGCAATGGAGTGCAAGAGCCAGTGAAGCCCTTGAACGATGGTCCAGCACTGGGTCTTGGGGAGCCTTTTGACGGCTGAACAGGGTTCCTGCAAAATGATACCAAAGACAGCTTAGATTGAAACCCGCAGGATCAAGACCCCCACCCCCCAAACCCCTTCAGGATCAGGGCAAAAAACCCCTGCAGGACCAAGACCCAGAGGACCGAGAAGCTGAATGGATTTCTCAAGGGCTATGAAAACTCAGCTCAGGCACTGATCTTCAAGCAGAAGGCCTTGATTTACAAGAGGAATGTCAGAAGAACCCGTGCTTCTGGCCCCTTTAGCTGGAATTCAAAAAGACAGGAAGAAAACAGGGAAATGAGAGTGTGAAGAAGAGAGCAGAAGAAAGCTAGATTGAGGGCCAAACTGCATACGATTACGAAGGTGGGGGATCAGCATTCAGACCCCCAGCTGTTAAGCTGCCGAAAGCAGTTGTGGATTGATCTAAATCAGGACTGTGGAAGAGTGAAGTCTTCCCTCCGAGCCATTCCCAAGATCAGTGGGGGACACAAAGCAGTTATAACATTGTTCTCCCCCTCCATTTGATCCTCACAACAAAATCCCTGAGAGGCAGACCAAGCAGAAGTGTGAGTGGTTGGCCCAGCGTCACCCAGCAAGCATCCATGGCAGAGTTAGGGTTGCCAGCCTCCAGGTGGGGCCAGGGGATCTCCCGCTTTTACAACTGATCCCCAGCCGAAAGAGATCAGCTCCCCTGGAGAAAATGGCTGCTTTGGAGGGTGGACTCCATGGCATTGTACTGTGCTGAGGCCCCTCCCCTCCCAAACCCCGCCCTCTCCTGGCTTCACCCCCAAAGTCTCCAGGTATTTTCCAACCCAGACTTGGCAACCCTAGGCAGAGTGGGGATTCGAACCTGAGTCTCTCAGACCCTAATCCAGCACTCTAACCACGGCTAATTTCACACACATTGGAGAATGTACTCGCAATGTGCTTTAGCAATCCTTTGAGGCTGAAGCTGCTTGAAAACAATTGCTAAAGTGCATTGAAGGTGCATTGTCCAACGTGTGTGAAATTAGCCCACTATACCTTGCTGGCTCTCCAATTCCATTCGGCATGGGGGTGGGGTGGGGGCAAACGTTAAAATGAAACAGGCAATCTGATTAGTGGCAGACAAGAAACACTGCCGTAAAGCCCCATGAGAATGACCGAGATGGATGGTGGGAGACTCACACTTTCTCCATGCCTTCGGGACAGCCAGTAAGGTCTTGGGGTTAGGGTGCTGAATCCCCACTCTGCCATGGGGAACTTGCTGCGTGAGCTTGGGCCGGTCATTCACTCTCTGCTTGATCTGCCTCTCTGGGTTTTTCTTGTGAGGATAAAAACAGAGGACCGGAGACCGACGGTGCAAACCATGTTGGGTCCGCACTGGGGAGAAAGGCGAGGTACAAAGGAAGTAAAGAAGAAGACCTTGGAGAGGCATTGCCAACATGAGCAGAGAGGGTTGGCGTCCCATGCTTACAATGCGACACGGCGACTTGCTTTCGTTCACGAGCTTCTCCAGAGACAGGCACTCGATGATCTCGCAGGGCAAGAGCGCATCCAGCTTGTCCTGTTTGTTGGCCAGCCTTGAAACATCCGCACAGAAATCAGAAAACAGAACAGCAAGGCCCCGTTAGCAAACCGCACAAACACTGCTGTCCATTCACCCTCCGGCCACGCAATATGGAGAAGGCAACAGACCTTCAAGGAGACCTGGCCTCCTGTATGCTCTCCCAGGGGTGCTTTAGATCAGGAAAGTGGTGCGGGGAGGGTGCAGCCCCTTCTCCCCCAATGCCAGGGTCTCGATTTGAAGAGGGCCCTGACGTGCTTGGGAACATAAGTTCCCTATCCTTCTGTGTGGCTGTGGGGAACATGAGTCGGGTGGGATGGGGGACAACCCCAACCTAGTTTGTGGAGTGGCATCTCATGCAGTTCACGTCTCAGTGCTTAGATCATCTTGCCAAGGCCTATCTTCAAGTACCAAGAGCAGGGTTCTCTCCAGGCCCGCAGCCGAGATGTTGTGGCTTTTGGGGGAATTTTTTTTTCTTGTCGGGCTGAAGTTCTCAGTGCAGAAAGAAAAGCCATTTAGCCAACAGAAAGCTGTTACGGAGATAGATCTCTAAACTGCAAGCTGTCAACCACTTTAGATGACAGTTCTCAGCTGTTAATCACTTCTGCTAGCAAGTCTGGTAACAACAATTCTGATAACAAACCGGCAAGGGGGGGGGATGACTTCTAGAGTCAAGAAAGTTAACATTTCGGCAGAAAAACTCTCTTAAAGGAGACCAGTGTCTTGACACAGAGTTAGAAGGGACCCTAGAGGTCACCTACTCTAACCCCCCTGCTCAGTGAGGGAATTAGTTAACTACAGCAGCCCACTCTGCTTACAGGAGCACAAACCTTTTAAAAAATGTTTTAAAATGATTGAAAAAAGCATTTACAGGAGAAACTATTGTGGGGCTGTGTCTTTAAGAAAGTGGGCAGACCCCCCAAAAGCTCCACCATAGCTACAGGCCTGGTTCTTTCTCTCTGTTAGAAGGGATCCCCTTCTTTGGAACCCCATGTCTAAAAATCAGTCCTCACTCCTGGCGTTCAGACCCGTAGTTAAACCCATTTGCTTGGTAAGAAATTCCAGAGGGACAGCTGTGCTACTCTATTGCAGCAAAAACAAACTGGAATCTTTCGGCCTCTTAAAGCCCCACACATTTTTACTGCAACATAAGCATTCACGGTCTGTGTCATCGAAGGAACAGGGCTCGTCCACGAATGCTTATCCTAAAATAAAATGTCAAAAGATTTTTCTCTTTGGTAAGTGTAGGAGGGCAGTGCTGACTGCGTGGCAAACCCGCACGAGGGCACTGGTCTCCTGGCTGTTCTCCTGAACAAATTGGGAACCTAGCTACTTGCACAAGGCGGATGCAATGTAGGAGCAATGTTGTCGGCTCTTGTGAGGCAGGCCCGAGAGTGGTAACGTTATTCCTGCATGGAGGACACGTCTGCTGATATGCTAAATTCATCATGTGAAGCTACCTTGGCAACAAGGATTTCACATTAAAACAATAATAAAAGGGATGACATGTAGGAAAGCAGTGCAGGAATCCCTTGGCTGGAGGTTGGGAGCTGAAATACTTATACGTCATGAGAGGCCGAGATGGAATCTGTTTACTGCTCACTACGCAGTTAGTAACCTTGAGAAAGGCAGATAACAGAGAGCTTGCCTGAGAGAACGAGAACACACACACACACACACACACACAAACATTCCTTAAGGATGCTCTAATGCTTGAAGAGGGGAAAAATGTGTATAAAATAAAAGCTTGAAGCCGAGAGGTTTCAGTCAGTTCCTGCAAGCTTCTGCAAGCTTGTCTCCTGTCGTCTTTGTATCGCCTGCACCCCACACCCTAACGAGCAGCACCACAGGTAAGAATTTTTGGATAGGTGTTTAATGCTGCTGACTTGTTAATATTGAGTTTAATTTTGGTGCTGCTTTTTTGGTGGTTTTAGGGATTTTTAATTTTTTTTTGACAAGATAATGTTTTACTGTCAGCTAGAAGCTTTATACACTCTGCTAAATAGTCAGTGGTAACCTCCAACAGATCAGAGATGGGTTTATCACGTATAGACTGATGGAGATCATGTGTCTTCATTACATTAATTCGTGACCTGATGATCAAACTGCGTGTTACATGGGATATCTACCATTCGAACCCCAAACATTTTTTTCTTAAATGTTAAAAAGCAACCAGGGGAATTCAGATCAGAGCTGTAGCGCAGAGCAGAAAGGGCTTAAGTATTCCCTTTTGCTGCACTGTTTCCCCGAGAGATATATAACAGAAAAAAGGAAGTATTTCTTCACCCAAAGAGTGATTAACACATGGAATTCACTGCCACAGGAGGTGGCGGCAGCTACAAGCATGGACAGCTTCAAGAGGGAATTAGATAAGCATATGGAGCAGAGGTCCACCAGTGGCTATTAGCCACAAGGTATAGATAGGAACTCTCAGTCTGGGGCAAGTGATGCTCTGTATCCTTGGTGCTTGGGGGGGAGGGGGCAACAGTGGGAGGGCTTCTAGTGTCCCGGCCCCACTGGTGGACCTCCTGATGACACCTGGCATTTTTGGCCACTGTGTGACAGAGTGTTGGACTGGATGGGCCATTGACCTGATCCAGCATTGGCTTCTCTTATGTTCTCATGTTCTTATCTTCTGAAAGAAGAGAATTCTCTGCTTTAGGCCTTTCTTCCTGATTTCTTCATTTATACCCATATGTTCATCCAGAGAAGACACAAAAAGAAACTAGGATGCAAACAGAATGGGGCTCACAGTAGCAGAGGCTTTCCTGCAACTTTGGGGTACCCCAAGACACGGGTAAGGGTCCTCTTGAGTTCATCCATCTGTTCCACGTCACCAGAGTCCAGCACAAAGATTATCCCGTGAGCTTTGCCGTAGTGGTTCCTCCAGGTTCGCTGCCCCCCAGCCGGGTCGATGAAGGATACCTCAAACCTGTCCACTCTGAGGTCTGTCTGGTTTGGCTTCGTGGTGGGGAGAACTTCACAGGAGAGTACTACACAGAGAAGACAGAAAAGCAGACCCAAGCCAATCATCAGTCCCACCTGCACAGACGGGGTTATACATCAGGACTATACATCAGGAGCTTCCCCCTAATTTTTGTTGGTTTGTAGCAAAGAGCATTGTAAAGCTTATGCTTCATAAGCTATGCCTGGTATGTCAGATTTAAATGGCTGATCAATCTGGATTCCAAAACTAATTCTGTGGTGGCTCCACATAAGCAGAAGTCTCTCCCTAGGAAGAATTAACCTTGCCTCCTCCTTGCTGACTTCTGGATGCCAGCTTCAGACTATTCTCTTCCAGGGGAATTCCAGCATCAATAGCATTTTCCAAACGTGGTTATTCTGCCAGCTTGCAATTACTTTTTTAATTGGATATTTTTATATGAAACTGGGTGCATTTGGTATAGTTTAGTGTAGTAGTTAGGAGTGCGAACTCCAATCTGAGAGAACCAGGTTTGATTCCCTACATCTCCACATGCAGCTGCTGGTGTAACCGTGGGTCAGTTACAAATTCTTTTACAGCTGTTCCCTCACAAGCAGTTCTCGAAATTGCTCTGTGAGCCTCACCTACCTCACAGAGTGTCTGTTGTGGGGCGGGGAAGGGAAAAGAGATTGTAAACTGCTCTGAGACTCCGTTGAGTAGTGAAGGGTGTGGGATAAACCCAATCTCTTCTCTCTCTCTTCTTTGCACTGTACCGCTGCTGTTAGCTGTGGGTGCAGCCAACTAGCAGAGTACCTGCCTTGCATGCAGTCTAAGGTTCAGTTCCCAGCATCTCCAGTGAAAGAATCAGGTAGCAGGTAACAGGAAAGACCTCTGCCTGAGACCTTGGAGAACTGCTTCCAGTCAGAGTAGACAAGGCTGACCTTGAGAGACCAAGGGTATGGCTTAGTATGTGGACTCTTCATGTGCTTGAACACAGAACAGAAAGGCAGCCTAGAAATTTATGTCTGCTCAGTTACTCACCTCTCTGGATTTCTCTGACTACAGAAGTTTTTCCTGCTCCGTCTAGGCCGAGGACAAGGAGAGTCACTTTTCTGGCGAGGAAGAAGGAGAAGAAGTAGACAAGACTGACCTTGAGAGACCGAGGGTCTGGCTTAGTATGTGGACTCTTCATGTGCTTGAACACAGAACAGAAAGGCAGCCTAGAAATTTATGTCTGTTCAGTTACTCACCTCTCTGGATTTCTCTGACTACGGAAGTTTTTCCTGCTCCGTCTAGGCCGAGGACAAGGAGAGTCACTTTTCTGGCGAGGAAGAAGGAGAACATAACATTGTATTATGGTGCAATCTGGAGCTATCGTCTCTCCCCCCAACATAGCTTCTAACATTTCACAGACAAAAATGGAAGCACTTGGGAATAGGGCTATTACAAACAAAACCTATGTCCTGCCATTAAATGTCATTAAACATTGCTGAAGATTGTACTCACTATACACGGTGCTCATTGGCTGTGCAATTCCCTGTTCTCAGCCGCTTCCCCATTACGCTCCTACGTCACTGTGAATGAATGCAAAGGCATTCACTGTGGCAATATCATAGCCTCCAATTGGGTATATGCTCTGTGCTTTCCCTCCATCTCCCCACATTTCCCCTGCCATTTCGCTTCTCAGTTGTCACCAGAGGGTCTCTGGAGGCCTTTAAACAGAGGCTAAATGGCCATCTGACAGCAATGCTGATTCTGTGAACTTAGGTAGCTCATGAGAAGGGAGGGCAGGAAGGGTTGCCTCAGTCCTTAGTTCTCGTGGCCCTTTCTTACAAGCCCAGGGAAATGCTGATCACCACGTTGGGATCAGGAAGCAATTTTTCTCCAGGCCATTTTGGCCAGGGATCCTGGAGAGGTTTTTTTTTTGCCATCTTCTGGGCATGGAACAGGGGTCACTGGGGATTTGGGGGGAGGTTTTTGTGAATTTCCTGCCTTGTGCAGGGGGTTGGACTAGATGATCCTGGAGGTTCCTTCCAACTCTATGATTCTGTGAGGGCTTTTTTGTCAATTTAAAGGAAAAAATCCCTCGTAGGTATGTCTAATAGGTGCCGACTACTGTTTTTAAAAAAGCAGTAAAAAAGGGTGCCAGTGTGTGGGGGTTGATAGTGGGCACAAGGGGAAATGGAAAGAAAATAACAGATGGTAACATTATCTGAACTTACTGTAGTACTCACAGATGGGAGATGGTCTAAGCCCCATTTCGCTCTTGTGTGAAGCCTTTTTATTATTATTGGAATCAGGCACTACAGTTGGGCTTGAATGTATTTAATTAAAAGTAATTAACATGTGGGATTCACTGCAAATGTAAGACTGGATGGGCCATTGGCCTGATCCAACATGGCTTCTGAGAGCCAGTTTGGTGTAGTGGTTAAGTGTGCGGACTCTGATCTGGGAGAACCGGGTTTGATTCCCCACTCCTCCACTTGCACCTGCTGATGTGACCTTGGGTCAGTCACAAGCTCTGGCACAGCTGTCCTTGAAAAAGAGCAGTTTGTGGCAGAGTTCTCTCAGCCCCACCCACCTCACAGGGTGTCTGTTGTGGGGAGGGGGAGGGAAAGGAGTTTGTAAGCCGCTCTGAGACTCCAAGTGAAGGGCAGGGTATAAATCCAATCTCTTCTTCTTCTTCTTCTTATGTTCTAATTGCATTGGTGAACTAAGCAGATATGAAATTGTGTAGATAGCTGACATAATAATGTGCAGACACTATTATGTTGGACAGCGGCCTATTATGCATGGGTGTTTCCCCTCACTTTCACTGTGCATGTCCGTCAGTTTTTCTTTGTCGTTCTGCACTGATGTTCCTTTCTTCCTGTCCCTGAAGTGAAGGGGTTGTGCTTGCCTACCGCAGGTGAGGTGGTTCTGCCATGCTAAAGCCACAACTGGAGTGGCTCTGCCCCCCCCCCAGCAGCTTCCTGCTCCCTCCCTTGCACCAGTTGCTTGTGGGCCACATAACAGCTGTATAACGACCCCAGGGCTTTATGTCTGGCACCCCTGCTATAAGTATTCCATGTGCCGATTGGGGGTGGAGTTAATCATAGTGTGTAATGTGTGCACTGAAAAAGAAAGAAAGAAAGTGGACTCCCAGACATGCAAAGAAAGCCATGCACGCACTAGCTATCAAAATCTACCACCCCACA